TGATACAAAATAACCACAATCATTACAGAAACAACAGAAGACAGACTTGGAGTAATCTGTCAGAGACAGCCAAACACCTTGGGAGAGAGAACCACCAGATCTGCTGACTCAGGACCATGGTTAAGGGACACCAGGCTCACCTGGCACAACATAATACATAAAAATCTTGTTCCACAATCTACTTTGGTGAGTAGCAACTGGAGTCTTAAAAGCTTTCTAACGGCCATCTAAGGTGCAGCTAATGGTCTCCTCTCATCTGAAGCAAAGAAAAGTGAAGAAAACCAAAGGCATTTGGAAGCAATCAGTCCTAGGACATGATGGACCTCAAGACCAGAAGAACTAGAATGGTGCCCGGTGACCAATGCCAACCACTTGGGAAGGGATCAAAACTGGAGATCCTGGACAGAGTGGGAGGAAAAATGTAGAACAAAATCCAAAAACACAGTAATAACCAGAATTACTAGTGGGATGGAGTTTGGTAGGACCCCCAAGACTATGGCCTTGGGATATACTTTGGGCCTGGGATAAGACTCACTCCCAAGGACTGGCTCTCAGCCTAACAGTAATAAGACTTACATGCAGAACACCCAGTCAGGGTGATGAACCCACCTACTCTACAAAGGTACATCCCTTGGAACAATCAGCCATGGGGCACCAGAGGGGCAGCATTATCATGGAGGAAAAGCAGGACACACAGGAGTCATAACTAAGAAGGCCACAGGGATGGGGGGGTCACAGGGAAGGGAGAGGAGGAGAGTGGGTTAGGGTTGGGGATGGTAAACCAAAAGTATATGAACTGTTGAATGTAAACCAAATTCTACTCTGTAAATTTGCATCTAAGACACAATTAAAAGGGGGGGGGGGGCAAAATAAAGATATACATGAACAACAACAACAACAAAAATAATAGTCACCAGGAGACTTTTAGAGAAGATAACTGGATTTCTGAGGAGGAAACTGTGGTGTAGCCTTAACAAACCTCTTGGGAGAAATTCAAATATAACTAAATCAACATAAGAAAAATGTATTTTAAAGAGAATACCATAAGTATAGTCAGAAGAATTCTGGCTGATAATTAACCCATGCTTCTGAAAATATGGAGTCTAAAAGTAATAAATAGGAATTCTTAATAATGACCTTTTAGAACTACAGCTATAGTAAAACTCTGAGTTTGTTGTTACAGTTGTTTACTACGGGAAAAACATGATCCTATCTGGGCAATCTACTTCCGTAGAGATACAGCCTCAGAAACCCAAGAAGGGGTCTCTATGAGTCGGGACCAACTTGACGGCAGTGAGTTTGGTTTTTGGTTATCAAAGCATGTGAAGTTAATGAACATACTTTATATGCAGAGTTCAGTAAATATTCTCATGTAAGCTGTACTCATTAAAGCAAAATACCAATGAATTAATAAAACAAAAATAAAAATTCAAATCAACAGTGGCTTCAAAGTTAGTAACTCCAGAAGGCTGAAGTGTAGCAAGGACATCTAGTACAGTGTAAAGCACATAGGTCATCGTGTATCTGCATACAAACTGTTCTTTCGCTACCATGCAAAGGAATCAAGAGAAGACAGGGGTCAGCATGAGGCGGATAGCTTGGCTTGCTGCTGACCTAAAGCAACATCTCATGACCAAGAGAAACCACACCAGACTGGAGTGTGAAAACCTCCCATTCTAGCAGGCTTTGGGCTAACTCGAACTGCCTTTTATTTACACTATGTAGTAAGTCCATTTGGCCAGTAGATGGCGACTGGGCTACTCTGCCAGAGAAAAGGGGCACCATTGTCAGCCAGTAAGTTAGTTATGGTATTGAGAACCTAGCCTCTTTTCTCAGTTATTTTCATGAAGGCATTTTCCAAGCTCCTAAATGAGAAGTAGATCTGAATAAAGAGTCCATGAATAAAGAATACCTTAAAGGATCAAACAGTAAGGGAACTATAAACAACAAATTTTTGCTTATTATAACTATTTTGGGGGGAGCTCTGGTAGCGTAGTGCCTAAGGCATTTGACAGCTAACCAGAGGCTGGTGGTTCAAATCCATCAGCCACTCCTTGGAGGGAAGATTGTGCAATCTACTTCCGTAGTGATACCACCTCGGAAAACCAAGGAGGGGTCGCTAGGAGTCAGATCTGACTTGACAGCAGTGAGTTTTTTACAGTTTATTTATTTATTTTATAACTGTTTTCCCTGGAATAATTCCTATTTAGATTTAGTTGCCCAAACCCCTTGTAAATAATAACACAAACAGGTCTAAATAAGAGCAATTAAATGCGCCATCTCATTTACCAAACTGCAGGAAGGAAGAGGAGGGATATGACAAAATGTTAAAACAATGGCAGACTATCTGCACAATTAATTCTGTTTAAACATGAAGATACATGTTCACAACTCATCCCTCAGTTTGAGTATGTGCACAAGCACACACGTTCAAAACCAATCAGAATAGTCAAGGACTCTTAAAGTTGGAAGGAGAATGCTAGATAATATCTCTTCTACTTTCCCAAATGAAACTATTATTCAATTCTGAACTAGGTGATTTTACTTCTTAAATAAATTTACTTCTGTTGGAGCTAAATTTCAAACTGGAGACATAAAGTTATATATTTTCCAGAAATTGTTTAGACTGAGGGAGACTCAAATATGGCACTGTACAATACAGCTGAATATTTTAATTGTTTTGGAGTAGTTAGATACTATTATTCTGTTCACTTCTAACTAAATAACTACATTGATCTACTCAGTAAATATTTATTCAGTTATGTGAAAGCAAATTGATAATTTGTGGTAATTTAAAAGAAGAATTCTATTTGTTATCAAATAGCTTCCATTACCTGTGTAATTTAGTACATATGGGTGTAAATCAAAACAAACTCACTACCATCAAGTTAGATTGTGCCTCATAGAGACCCTTTAGGACAGAGTAGAACTTCCTTTTAGAGTTTCCAAGGCTGTAAATCTTTATAGGAGCAGACTGCCTCATCATTCTGCCACGGAGTCATTCGTGGGTTCAAACCACCAACCTTACGGTTAGCAGCCAGCTGCTTTAACCACTACGCCACCACAGCTCCCTACATATGAGCATCCAAAATGGAATTTTCAAAAGGAAGGTGATTCATGACGTTGGTAACTTCCTATTGTAATTGCCTATTGTGCACCAACCATTATGTCAGGAACTGTGACTACAAAGGTGCACTGTAGAGAGTTCTCTGGGATGAGAAGAGCCACATGGTTAAAACACAAATAGGGGTTAATTTTTGCAGCAATCAAGAGCAGTTACCAAAATCATGAATCAACATCCTTTTGAAAATCCCCTTGTTAAAGACAAACTTAATTTAGTCCGTATATCCTTGCCATAGGCTTTGGTATGTGAAAAACATGACCTTTGATCTCAACAACTTTTGAGAAATTTAAATAAAATGTAGGCAATTCAAATGAAGTAGTACTTACTATTAAGCAACAAGGAGGGTAATTCAAAGAGAGAAGAAACTAATGTTTAGAATATAAAAGATACAGAACCATAATTAATTTTCTAAATGTTGTTATGTTTAGTGACTCACATGCAGTCTGTTGCTGTGACAGATCCATTACTGACATGTTTATTTTAGAGTAATGCATTTGTTTTATCTTAATTAAATTAATATACTCATATCCTTCCAAAAGGATTTGAGGTGGCTTCAAAGCCACCAGCCACTCCTCGGAAGGAAGACTGGGGAAATGTACTTCCATAGAGACACCACCTCAGAAACCCAAGGAAGGGTTGCTATAAGTCTGATCTGACTCCATGGCAGTGAGTTTGGTTTTTTTTTTTTTTTTTTTTTGCCTACTTTTGTTTGCAATTTACAAAATGTTCCTATAAACTTGTGAGAATCTAAGAGAAATATGTATTATTCATAAAAACACCTATTTCTCCTTTAAGGAAAAGCACAAAACTAATCACATGAAATAGTAATTATTAATCAGGGATCAATAGAACAGTGTGTGGAAATTTCTTCTCTTCTAATTGGCTCTCTGCAGAACAACAGCTGGCGGGAACCTACCTTTCTTTTTGCTGGATGGAAATGAAATGTAAAAGAAGTTCTGTTCTAAAGACTGATGAAAATATGTTGCAAATAAATCCTTTTATGATATGCGGTAATATAGATAGGTACACAGCCTTCCTCATTCTTCCAGATAGCAACTAGATGAGGTGATGACCGAATCATCTCTGGGGTAGTTCGTTTCCTTTCATTTTGGTGGTCCTGTTCCTATATTTCTTTGCAGAATATGGTTGGGTCTACTGACTGTGACTGCTAAACTTGGACTACCTAGAAATAATAGAGCTGGTAAAAAAAAAAAACCCATATATTTATCAGATGCATTGGAGCCCTGGTGAAGTAATAGTTAAGCCCTTGGCTGCTAACTGAGAGATTAGTGGTTTCAAACCCACTAAGGGGCTCCCTAAAAGAAAAACTCAGCAATCTACTGCTGTAAAGATTACAGTCTAGAAAACCATATGAGGTCACTATAAGTTGAAATCTACTTGACAGCACCTCACAACAACATTAGATGCACAATTCTGCTTCCCTCCCTCTTCTACATTAAAGGTTCTGGTCTTAGAAATAATCTGCATTTTAGAATGTCAGAGTTTCTGTTGCCTAGGTAGCATGTAGAGATGCTGACAACAGTGGTAGTAAAAGTGAGAACACAAAGCCAGTGCTGGAAATGGGCTTATACTTAAGGTTAAAAAATATAAGATGATTTTTTTTCCCCACATGTTGTGATCTGAGCAGCCTGTATATTTAAGCATTGATTAAAAAAAAAAAAAAGCACATTTTTAACCTTTTCACTATCTAGATGGGTAGATGGTTGTATCTTTTAGAATGAGTCCAGGAAATATTCTAATCTTTTAAGTAATTAGATTTGAGTTGTTGGGCCAGAAGTTTTCACTATTACAACCCTTAGAACAAAATTTCCAGCTGAACGTGCACCCAAAGAGGTAAGGTCAGTTCAAGTGGTACCTGCATAGGTCTGTCACCCTCTTGTCCAATCATGTTTCTCCATTCCATGAGTGAACGTTGCAGATGTTCGAGTCCAGTTTCCCAAAGCCTGACGCAACCTCCCATGTCAACAGTAACAATGCCTCCTTTGCCCCACTCAGCTAGCAGTGCATCCGTGTCCGAAATATTTGAGAGCCATGAAGTATAGGGTGAGAGAGATTCTGATCTGAAATAGGGGTCAAAAGGGAAGATAACAGATCATAAAAATAAAGTGGAATGCTGGAACTTACGTTTGTCATGTTGCTTACTGTTTAATAAATATTTTCTTAAGCAGTATTCATTCTTTTATACCTGATTCTATTTATCTCATAGCACAGGTTACATGTTATGTGCTACAATGGGATGTAAGGACATAGTGGAGTTTGCAGACATGTGGTAGGACAATAACAAGAAAAACTGAATATTTTAAGATTGTTTATGGTATTTTTTATAGTGTACAACCTATTGGTAGTCCAGTTAACAAAACTAGTTTAAACTGATGTAGGTTCATTAAACTTGCTGTAAAGATTTCTAACAGTAAGTATGCTAAAAGGTAAGATACCAAGAGATCAATCTGTAAAGGACAAATATCACAATTATTTCTTGGTTGTTTACATCTTCCTGTATGTGTAGAGCCCAGATGATACTAGTAGTCACTGCTGGGAAGAAAGGAGCGCTCACCAACTCACCCCTCACACACCTGCAGCACTGGGCTCACTCTAGGAGGCTCACTGTCAGTGCGGCACCTGAGGTCTCATTTACGTGCTTCAACTGCATCTGTACTCAATATTTTGCTTTCCTAACTTAGAAACGTTTATGAATCTGTAACAAGAAATTTATGAGTTTTTTGCATTACATATTTAATACACTGATACCTTTTATTATGTATTTCTTATATGTTGTTGTTTGTTGTTAGGTGCCTTTGAGTCAATACTGACTCACAGCAACCCTGTGGACAACAGAAAGAAACACTGCCCAGTCCTGCACCATCCTCACAATCCTTGCTTTGCTTGAGCCCGTCAACCACAGCCACTGTGTCAGTCCATCTTGTTGAGAGTCTTCCTCTCTTTCTCTGACACTCCATTTTACCACATATCTCACATATGAAATATATATATATATTTGTTGTTAGGTGCTGTCGAGTCATCTGTGATTCATAGGGACCTCATGTATAACAGAACGAAACACTGCCCGGTCCTGTGTCAGCCTCACGACCCCTGCTATACCTGAGCCCATTGTTGCAGCCGCTGTGTCAATCCATCTCATTTAGGGCCTTCCCCTTTTTCATTGACCCTCCACTTTACCAAGCATGATATTCTTCTCCAGGGAATGGTCCCTTCTGACAACATGACCAAAGTTGGTGACAAAAAGTTTGGCCTTTCTCGCTTCCAAGGAGCATTCCAGCTGCACTTCTTCCAGGACAGAGTTGTTAATTCTTTCAGTAGTCCATGGTACTCTCAGTATTCTTCAGCAGCACTGCAACTCAAAAGCATCAACTCTTCTTTGGTCTTCCTTATTCATTGTCTTTATTCACTGTTATATGTGTGTGTGTGTGTGTGTGTGTGTGTATACATACTCACTGCCGTCGAGTCAATTTTGACTCATAGTGACCCCTCCTTGGGTTGCTGAGGCAGTATCACTACAGAAGTAGGATTGCCCAACCTTCCTTCCGAAGAGTGGCTGGTGGGTTTGAACTATCAGCCTTCTGGTTAGCAGTCAAATGCCTTAGGCACTATGCCACCAGAGCTCCATATGTATCTATTTCTTTGAATAATGTTTTCATATTTCTTGAACCTATTAAAGGGACCTAAGAAATGAAACTCTTTCTTATTGAGCTATTTTGGGGGTTGGAGGAGAGGGAGGAAAGGAGACCTGCTGACGTTTTTGGTGTCCCTGGCCTTCCACTGATATCGGAAGGCTCTAGGCTACTCTGCTTATAAGTGTGTTTGAGGGGTCACTTTTCTTGTGAAGAACTATATGGAAAAAGGGGATATGATCTCAGTCTGGATGAAAGCAGAGTAGAAGATTATAGGAAGGGGGCTTTGGCTTGGAGGGCAAAGAAAGAGTGAAAAAGAACCTAGGTTAAGTAGGGTACAAATGTGCCCTGCTGCTAATGGAAAGGTTGGAGGTTGGTGTTCACCCAGAGATTCCTGGTGATCTACTTCTGAAAAATCAGCCTTCAAAGACCCTGTGGAGCACAGTACTATTCTGACACATACAGAGTCACCATGAGTCAGAGTCAACTCAACAGCAATGGGTTTAGGCTAAGTAAACCAAGCAGGTGTATGCCTAGGCTGTGAGAAGGAGACAAAAGATGGATGCACCCAGATAGGGACTGACCACAGATGAGGACACCTGTATTCCTCAAGGGAGAGGGAAATGGAATGAAAAGGGCAGGGAGTACCTGCTTTTACCTTGGATCTAGTTAGACAGAATGCTGTTCCACCGCTGGGCAGTAATGAGAACAATGAATGATAATGAGTTCCATTCTAAATCTCTGAAACTCTTTTGTTATGGCCTTCGTGACTGTGGGCACATAGTAACATATTTAAAAACGATGCTAAACAAACAGTTTTTTTAAAAAAATTCCTTTGATATTTTTAACAGTTACCTCAGAAAACTAATATATAAAATTGTAAGTATTGAATTTTCTACAATACTAAAAATGCTGTTTCACATACCAAAACCAAACCAAATTCACTACTGTTGAGTTGATTCAACTCATAGCGACCCCTCCTTGGGTTTCCGAGGCAGTATCTCTATGGAAGTAGACTGCCCAACCTTCCTTCCGAGGAGTGGCTCGTGGGTTTGAACCGCCAGCCTAATGGTGAGCAGTCAAATGCCTTAGGTACTATACCACCAGAGCTCCTGTTTCAGATACAGAAAAACTTATCCTTAGAACTAATAAAATAAAAGAGAGTGAAGTTTGAAATCAAAGCTGTTAGACTTACACCTATGCAGCATTTGAACATTTTTCTAAAAGGAAAATAAGAATGTGAGTGAAATATGGGGAAAAACAGTAGGTTATAAAACAATTATAACTCTACCCAAAACAAAGCTTTCTATTTAAGGAAGCAAAAAGCACCCATCAGAGTACTCGTTAGAATTCATTCTCTCTTTCTTTATTTTTTTAATCTGACATACCAAACTAAGAACGCAGAAGATGGATTACCTGGGAATAGGGATGTATCGGAGTTTCTTTGATTGGAGGTCAGTAACTTCTATATAACCAGCTGTTTGTGGAGGGTTAACATCTGCAAACAAGTAATGATATAAACCAAGTATTAAATTATCACATGATACCAAAATAGGACCAAAAAGAATGCTTGGATGCTGCTAAAAGTGGAATGAAGTTATCAGTAGCCTTGGGTAGTACTCTGGGACCCACATGACAAGATACTAGGCCAAGTCCAGCCTCAAGGCTAAACTCAGTTATTTTTCCCTCAGGAAAAGACAAAGATTGTCAAATAGAAGCAGATTAGATCATGATTCTTTATTGCCAGAAAATAACCTAAGTTCTTTTTTTTTTGTTAATATTTTATTCTTTTTTAGATGAAAATTTACATAGCAAATTAGGTTTCCATTTAATAACTTTTGTCCCATAATATTGGTTACAATTTTCACAATATGTCAGCATTTTCATTATTTCTATTCTCTTCATTCTATTTCCATTGATCTAGTTTCCCTTCCCCCCCTTGCCTTCTCATCTTTGTTTTTAGGTAAAAGTTGACAGTTTAGTCTCATCTTTTCATTGTTTTTTTAAAGCTTCCCAAGATAAGTCAAAATTGTAGCACTTACAGTTTACTTAAAAACACTTCATCATCTGAATTCTGTTTTTCCTCCTTAGGAAGTTGCAACAGTCCTTAGCAGTTTAGTTCAAAGAATTGTCAGACTGACCTGATGTGAAATCCTGGCTCTGACAATTCCTAGCTGCAAACACTGGTCAAGTTATTTACCTCCCTGAGACCTGTTTTTCTCACTTGGAAAATGGGGATAGCAACAGCATCTGGGCATTATAAGATTATTTTGAGGATTAAATGAAATTAATGAATAATGCAAAACACCCAAATCACTAATTTCTCAACGTTGTTGTTGGTGTTAGGTGCTGTTGAGTCAGCTCTGACTCCTAGCAATCCTTGTACAACAGAATGAAACACTGCCCGGTCCCGTGCCATCCTCACAATCCTTGCTATGTTTGAGCCTGTGGTTGCAGCCACTGTGTCTATCCATCTCATTAAGCGTCATCTTCTTTTTCACTGACCCTCTACTTTACCAAGCATGATGTCCTGCTCCAGGAATTATTCTCTACTGATAACATGTCCAAAGTATGTGAGATGTATTGGCTTCTAAGGAGCATTCTGGCTGTACTTCTTCCAAGACAGATTTGTTTGTTCTTCTGGCAGTCCATGGTATTCAATATTCTTCGTGAACACCGCAATTCAAAGGCATCAATTAAAATTCATCAGTTGCTCACTACAAAGTAGGTATTATTAGTAGAGTCCCCCTTCTAAGAGAAGAAAAGGTGGGGTGAGGATGGGATGAGCACTCTGCATTGTGAGGAACATGGAAAGTTGGGAAGAAGAAGAAGGGGAAGAGATAGGGGAACTATAGCCACCGAGCACAATTGTAGAATTGGTTTCCCAGAAAATTTCAGGGGTGTACCGACTTGTTTTGCACAGTCCTGAGCACCACCATCACAACTGTGTGCCAGGAACTATGCTTGGTTCTTTAGACAGTATTTTTAATACAGAAACAACAAAGAACTACGATGAAGAAGCTGAGGCTTATAGAGGCCATGTATTGTGACTCACTTCAGGTGACACAGCTGGAGAGTAAAGGAGATGGTTTTCAAACCAAGCCTGTCAGGCTGGGAACTCTATGTTCTTTCCCTTTCCCACATTACCCCCACCTGGTCTGGCCCTCGAGATAGCACTGAATCTTGTCCACTGAGGACTTCTTTCAAACCAGAACCAAAGCAAACAAACAAAAACAAAACTCCCCCCACACAGAACCCATGCTTTTAAAGACTTCTGTGTATTTATAATATGTACATGTATATGCATATGTGTGTATGTGTATATCTTATAACCACTTCTTATTAGAATGAGATATCTAGGATTTCACATCGAATTTATTGAATGTAGTTAAAAACAAAACAGGAGGTGTGGCATTTGTACTTCATGTTTGTAGTCAATGTATTATTTCTAACAGGTCATCTGAAGAACTCAAAATATCTCTCATTTATTCAACAAATATGTTTAAACTTATTTTGCGTCAGGCATGGTACTAAGCATTGAGAACACAGAGAGGAAAGTCCCTGCCTTTGGGTCCCAGGCATTGGGATGCTCACAGACTAGACAGGGAAGTTCCCTTTTCATAGGTGTTAACCATTGTGGACCCGGAGGGCCTTGGAAGGGACTCCATGGTGGAAATCACGGCCCTGGGCCAGGTATGAACTGCAGATCTAGGCAAGGGGTGGTCCCAAGGGGCAAAGGGCTCAGGAGGAAGGGAAGTGATGTTGAAGAATGGCACTGGGCAAAAGAGAGTCACTATGGTAATCTCATCACCTGCTGGATTGGCTGTCCCAGAGGGCCATTTGTATAAAACGAACATGCTTATCTTAAGTCATGCACCGCCTGCTTTGGAAAGTGCTGCCAGGGATATTAGGTCAATCTTGGATAAAGTTTTGCATGATATATCATTTTTGACAATTCCTACTGCTAGGACCCAGCTGAAGTAGGCTGAATTATTTATAGACCTGGGTTATTTGCCAAAAATGGCCATTTCCTGAAGCAGTGGGGATGACTAGAGCTGCCCTGCTAACCAACTCACATTTTGCCTTGCCACTTCTAGCATTTTCTTCTTTCCTAAGTACTAGTATTAAGTTGAGCTTCTGCCACTAGCACTTTTAGCGTGTCTGTGAAAGCAAAGTTAGTCGATGTATTTTAAAGTATCTTTTTTTTTTTTTTTTTCATTCACTGTGCAAATTTAATTTCCTGGCAAAAAGTGGTTGGAAAAAAAAAAAAAAAAAAGCAACAGTGATTGTTTCCACTATGTCAAGAAAGAGAAAGGAAGAATTACATTCCTGATACTAAAGAATATTTTCACGTATTAGGAAAGGAAATAGGAACCTTGTGGCTACAAAGCATATCAGAGATAAGTAAAGGTGTTGGTGGTGGTAGGGGCGGTAGCAAACATTTGGAAAATTAATGTTTACGGATTTGAAAATATATCAACTCAGAAGACACAAATATTTACAGAAAAGAGCCTGATGGCTACCCTCAGATAGAATGTATGATTGAATTAAGGAAGTAAGAATACACCAGATTCACTTCCAAATGTAAACAAGTCCTTGCCCATCCTTTTTAAATGTTTCAACATAGTGCAGAGAGATGGTAGCTCAGGAAGTTCCCATTACATTTATAATCCAGGTGGATTTCAAAGGTGAGTATAAACTATATTTAGGGATTAGTTCACTAAGTATTAAAAGGAAGTCATTGCTGCAGTGCTTACCACACAGTTCCCACAAACAGAGGGGACAGTTTAGACGCACAATGCTAAAGTTAGGAAGAGATAGGAAAACTGTGAATTCAGTCAAAACAAGCACAAATATTTTCAGAGGGAATAAAATTATAATAAAAATATACTCCTTCTGGAAATGAACTTTGACGTTCACCTGTTAACTACTAGGTTTAAGGCATTTCTATCTGGGTTAATAGTTTAATACAGTGACGCATGCTTTGTAATCGTGTCTCTCCCTTAAATCTGGAACTTTCTTTGGTTTTAACCAAAGTTCAAAAAACAGTGTACTGTTTTCAATGAAGGATCATTATTTTATGTTAAATGAACTGAGACCTGTGTTAAAGAAAAGCAAAAAAAAGAGCTAATGTTTCAGTAGAATAAAAACAATTGGAAGAAAGCAGTAAATATCTCCCCTTGTGCTTAATTAAACAAAGTTACACCATCTTTGTGATAGCCAGCAGGAGAGTAACCTTTACAGTTGCTACAGATTGTTTAATAAAAGGCTGATAGGCATTAATTTCTGGCTGACCAGTTAGTTGAATTCTATTTACTTTAAAAAAGTAATTTAGTTTCAAATTTTATAAGAGACTGGCATGCAAATAAATTAAAAATTCAAATTGGCTTAGAAGAAAGAAGTCAGCCCTGCTTCACCCCTCTCACTCCTCATTTCCTGTTTCCCAGGGACAACACTGCCAACTTTTTAAGCTGCTTCTTTGGTGTTTACCATTATTCTTGTGTTATCTTGATGCTTTCATTTTAGGCATTATCTCTTGACTTCTCACCATGAAAAAGGTTTACCTCTTTTTCATCCTGTACACCCACACCTCATTCTCTCACTCTGACTCATGGCAATCCCATGTGTGTCAGAATAGAAGTAATTAATGCTCCATAGAGTTTTCAATGGTTGGTTTTTTGGAAGTAGTTCATCAGTAGTTTAAAAGGTGCCTCTGGGTAGACTTGAGCCTCCAACCTTTCGGTTAGCAGTCGAGTGGACAACCCAGGGACTACATCTCCGATGTAATTTTGTTTATATTAATATCTAGTGCTTATATTAGGAGCTCTGGTAGCATAGTGGCTAAGACACTTGCCTGCTAACCAGATAGCTGGTGGTTCAAACCCACCAGCCACTCCTCGGAAGGAAGGTTGGGCAATCCTACTTCCACAGTGATACTGCCTCGGAAACCCAAGGAGGGGTCGCTATGAGTAGGGTTTGACTCGACGGCACATAACAACAACAACAACAACAGTGCTTATATTACTATAATTATATAATGCCATTCACAGCTGAATTATATCTTATAATCATAATTACTTTTTTCTTTCCTGCATGGCTTTTTGCTTCCCTTGGAGTTAATAATCATCACAATTTTTTTTTCTTTCAGTTTTTCATATATGTAGCACAAATTCATCCACAAAGTGCTCCCTACTATCAAGATCTTTGTTGTTGTTGTTGTTATGTGCCATGGAGTCAGACCTGACTCATAGTGACCCCTCCTGGGGTTTCCAAGGCAGTATTACTAAAGAAGTAGATTGCCCTACCTTCCTTCCGAGGAATGGCTGGTGGGTTTGAACCGCCAGCCTTCTGGTTAGCAGTCAAGTGCCTTAGGCACTACGTTACCAGCGCTCCCTTAATCCCATATGTTGTTGTTGTTATGTACCATCGAATTGGACCCGACTCATAGTGACTCCTCCTTGAGTTTCTGAGGCAGTATCACTACAAAAGTAGATTGCC